TTTTTGCCTGATTGTACGCTATATAGTTCTATGCATGTTCTGGTGCCATTAACATAACAGTGTAGGGGGGGTGCATGTACTGTGAAGTCGCCGGAGCCTTGCAGCGGGACTACTTCTGCGGAGCACATAAAGCAGACTCTTCACGAAGGATAACTTGTTCTTCAGGGCAGGGAAGGCTACGCAGCACGCAGTCTACTGTCCCGCAGCTGCTGTCTCTCTGTTGGACTCCGGTACTGCACATTAGTCACGAGACGTTGTAAAAAGAAAACGAGTGGGGGCGAACGCACTAACCGCTCCACCAACGCCACAGTCACCCGCGCCGTGTGGGCCGGATGAGAATGTCTGGCGGGCCAGATGTGGCCCGCGGGCCGCCAGTTGATTGCCACTGCAATACAGTATGTGTATGCATCACACTCAAATCAAACACAAACTCAAATAAACATTTTTATATGAGCAATATATACAACCAGATATATTNAGTGACGTCAAAGTGTTTTGAAGAAGATGTCTTGTTTGCAGAGTTTTAAATACTCTGTGCTGCAGACAGATTAGGCAGCACACTAGAAGTTTTTCAAACACACACACACACACACACACACACACACACACACACACACACACACACACACACACACACACACACACACACACACACACACACACACACACACACACAGGACCTACAATTTCCGAGCCCCGAACATCCGGTTTGTAATATAAATGTGGGGGTCATTGAAAATGTGTTCTGATATATGTTCTTCACAGAAAATGAGCCAAGGCCATTGAGTGTGAGTTTGAAAACATAATTGATCGTATAATTGTTCTTTAGATAAATAATGAAAACGGGTCCCACAGACCCGAACATCATACAAGAGTTAAGCTGTATGTCACTGCAGGAAAAACAGTATTCTTGCCTCCATGCTGATGCCCTTTTGCTCAAGGTCACTGCTTCTCACAAAGCAATGTGCTGTGGTAATTGGCTCTTTCATTCAGTCTGTCACTTTTCTCTTCACAAGGTTAAATAGTTTCTCTCCTTCTCTCTCTCTCTCTCTCTCTCTCTCTCTCTCTTTCTCTCTCTCTCTGTGTTTCCTCTCAGATTATTGTGGGAGTGATCCTGCTCTACTACCTCTTGGGAATCAGTGCCTTGATTGGAGCGACCGTCATCGCTGTGTTAGCTCCTGTACAATACTTTGTCGCAACCAAGCTGTCCCAAACTCAGAAGAGCACCCTGGTGGGTATTTTTCATTGTCTCTTTTAAAGAGATGCAGTATTTCTTGAGACTTTATTTTTAGCCATGCTAGAGGCTTTAAAAGGTTAGTCTGTTGGTGTACCACTTTGGTCCAGATGAAATATGTCTATATTCTGAATGGATTGCTATTATAAAAAACGTTCATGACACCAAGAGGATGAAATCCTGCTGACTCTAATCACCCACAGTTTTATTTCCCTGTAAAATATCTCAATATCTGCTGCTTGAAGAGGCCCATAGCTTTAGTACAGATATCCATGAGATATTACTTTTGTCAATTCCTGATTTTACTCTCAGTACCACTATGAAGTCGACACTGTTGTTCGGAGGGAAATATTGGTTCAATAAGAATCATTGTGTTGTCTTTATTTTATTATAATCTTTTGGAATCCAAAAGGTTTTCGAAAACTATTAATCCAGTATTAAGGAGAGTAGTGGCTTGTTTTTTTACCCGAATGCCTGGTTAAACATCTAATCTCATGTTCACTATTAAATGCAAACAGTGTCTAAGCCGCGTCTGTTTCAGTAAGATCACACAAAACTTTGGAAACAGTGTTGGTCAATATTAACAAAGGATACAGTATGTACTGATTTTGCCTCAAGCCTTTCTGCTGCTTTCCACTGATATAAATCTGCCTTAAGTCCAGTCGGGTGTGATAATATTGTTACCTTCAGTCCTTGATATTTCAGAGCAGGATTTATTGCCAGGGATAAACAATACTTTCTCATATCAGGGAAAACAATGCTTCAATGACTTCAATGTTTGCATTGGCAATTGAAACCTTGATAAAAACAAACTGAAAGATTGACAAAAAAGTTGACTTTGACCTACTTGACTTTGATATTGTGCAGTAATTAAAAAGGGAAAGTAATTGAAGTACAAAAGTTCCATTTTAGCCGCGCCTGGAACATTAGCTACCTTGTTGTGCCTTCCTTTGAATATTTTCTCAGCAAGAAACGTATTATTATTAGTATTATTTTTAGTATTATTTTTAAGTAGCTCAAATGTGAGAGAGCAAGGGTCCATGTGTGCAGGGGAAACAAAGGGCCTTACTGGATGCTTTTTTATATTAGGGAAAACAATGCTTCTTTGACTTTGATGTTTGCATTGGCATTTTAATCCTTGAAGTAGGATGTGATAACGCTCGTGAGCTCTCTAGCTGCACCTCTTGTGATGTGATGGATTACTGTTGTTTAATCAAAGGCTCCCTTTTCCACTTGCAGGAATACTCCAGTGAACGTCTTAAGAAGACCAATGAGCTGCTACGGTGCATCAAGCTGCTGAAGCTGTACGCCTGGGAACACATCTTCTGTGACAGTGTGGAGGGGACCAGGGGCAAAGAGCTCACCAGCCTGAAGGCCTTCGCTTTTTACACATCCATATCCAGTAAGGCACTTTGTTTCCCCTGGCTCTCTCACATTTGAGCTAATTAAAGGTCTCCTATCATGCAAAATGCACTTTTGTATGTCTTTTGTACATAAATATGTGTCCCCGGTGAGTCAGAAAACAAAACCCTCTCTCTTTTCCTCCGTACCCAAATCTCTAAAAACGGGGGTACAACGGAGCTGATCCAGATTTGCGTCCGATATGACGCAATATCGAAAATGTGGACCCATGGCACTATCAGAAACGTTGCTATCAGAAAAAATGCGCAACGTGTTTTGGACGTAATATGTGACACGCTCTATCGAAATCAGTCGGAAGTCGCAATGGCTCATTTCAAAATAAACGTGGATTTGCGTAAAGAAAATAGTTTTTCGGGGTTCGGGTGTTTTGTTTGATTTTAAATAAACAAAGTCTTGGCTTTCAGAATATGAAACTTTTATTTTGAAAATCACACGATAAATACATTTTTGAAGATGGTAAAGGGAAGATGACAGGCACCTCTCACTCGCAATCTGCTCTTCCGCAGCGCCGCCCCCCCCCTCCCTCCTGCTGAAATTATGAATGTAAGCGTATAGTAATCATAGATAACACGGCAGGGTCCGTTACAGTTTGTTTTCATCTGATTTCAAATAACAAGTCTTGGCTTTCAGTAATATTAAAACTTGTTTTGCAAATTCAGATGATAAATACAACAATTTTACAGACTTGTAACGGCAAATTACAAGCGGAGGAACGGAGTAACTTCACGTCACAGCAGGCATAACAACCAGCCGGTGTTTCTCATGAGGGTTTTCCCCGGGAAACCAACACAATACACCAAATGCAAAAAATATCACAAACACCACCCACATGAGGACACACACACCACACACACACACACACACCAACAAACCACCCACACAACAA